TGTGGTCTTGCCTATATACTGAGATCTTTGGGGCTGACAGTCCCCGAAGTGGGCATGTGAAGGCATAGACGACATTGGTCTCTCTTGAGGCATTCTGCTTGGTGTCCGGAGAGTTCTTCCCAAGTTACACCGTCAACTTACTTATGAAGAACCCTAAGTGAGGACCTCGTGGGCGCTAGGTAAGCCGTTAAGGTCCCTCCGTTTGCTCCATTCCCATTACGCTTGCTGGAATTGAATTCAAATATCTGTTACTGCCCACCCCGCCGCTTGCCTAATGCGCTCGGTCTTCTTACCCTGGCTGCGGGTCGTGTGTGCTCACTCAAGTATGTGTGTATCGAGTCTCGTGTGCTGGGAGTCGTGTGTGTGTAGTAAAGATTAGTTTTCCAATTGATAAAAAGTACAATATCGGATTTGGTTCACATAGGCACACAGGCTAAGCTTCAATACGCGTTAGTGTTCGTTAACATCTTACACAAAATGATTAGTTAATTCCTAATAACCGGGAGAAGTGAGCCAGACAATCAATTCTGAGGCACAACCGACCCGAGCGACCTCGGCGCCGTCTACACAGTTCCCGCCAAAATCACAGGTCCGGGACAGCTGATCAACTGGAAATTATTGGCTTCCAGCCTCGTATTCAATACAAGACACGTGGCATCAATACAACACTTGGGATAATTACATTACCTGCGGTTCTCAGAGTTAGGGGAGATTATAAAGGCAGCAACTGGAAGGATGAGATGTGGAAATTGGAAGGAGAAGAGTTAAAAACAAGAGACGAGGCAGAAATAGAAAAGAGATGGGGTGGAAATAGGGAGCAGACATATAGAGAACAAGATGTGTAGAAATGTGGAGGAGGAAGAGGTTAAGGCAGAACAACAGCAAGAAAAGCAGAAGGAAAAAAAAACCAGCACCAACAACAGCATCAGAATCATCACCACCAGCATAAACATTACAAATTTAAACAACAAAAGGAACAAAAGCAGCGGCAGTAAGCAACTAAAAGCCGCAAGAAGCCTAGTACACGGCATGTTTTCCCGCGCAAAACCCTCCTAGAATGACCGCACGACTCTACCCCCTGCCTCGGCCGCTGCCCCCTGCCTCGGCCGCTGCCCCTGCCTCGGCCGCTGCCCCCTGCCTCGGCCGCTGCCCCTGCCTCGGCCCCTGCCCCTGCCTCGGCCTCGGCCCCGCCCCAGCCCCCATGTAACAATATAACAGCTCCCCCCACTACCACCACCACCTTTCACAGCTCAGGAAAATTGGAAGTAAATCCTGGTACATTAGTTAAGAGTCGGCCGAGCCGAGGTAATTACTGCTGGCTTAACATTGTTCAACACAGATTACTACACAATGATTCACCTTGATATTTCAACTTAATGTTCCAATGAACGGGGATGGGAAACAATGTTTACCTTGGCGTCCTTCGACTGTGTAAGAGTTCAGTGTAACACGCACACGCACACACGCACACACACACACACACACACACGCACGCACACACACAAACATTTCATGATTGTCGGAAGGTCTTTGGCACAGTACCGCATAAGAGGCTGGTACATAAGGTGGAGAGACAGGCAGGTGTAGCTAGTAAAGTGCTCCAGTGGATAAGGGAGTACCTAAGCAATAGGAAGCAGAGAGTTACAGTGAGGGGTGAGACCTCAGATTGGTGTGAAGTCACCAGTGGAGTCCCACAGGGCTCTGTTCTCGGTCCTATCTTGTTTCTGATATACGTAAATGATCTCCCTGAGGGTATAGACTCATTCCTCTCAATGTTTGCTGACGATAGCAAATTTATGCGAAGGATTAAGACAGAGGAGGACTGCTTGATGCTTCAAGAAGACCTGGACAAACTGAAGGAATGGTCGAACAAATGGTTGACAGAGTTTAACCCAAGTAAATGTAATGTAATGAAGATAGGTGTAGGGAGCAGGAGGCAGATACAAGGTATCATTTGGGAGACGATGAAGATCAGTTAAGGGACGCCCCCATCAGTTAAGGGACGCCCCCCATCAGTTAAGGGACGCCCCCCCATCAGTTAAGGGACGCCCCCCATCAGTTAAGGGACGCCCCCATCAGTTAATGGACGCCCCCCATCAGTTAATGGACGCCCCCCATCAGTTAATGGACGCCCCCCATCAGTTAATGGACGCCCCCCATCATTTAATGGACGCTCCCATCAGTTAAGGGACGCCCCCATCAGTTAATGGACGCTCCCATCAGTTAAGGGACGCCCCCCATCAGTTTAGGGACGCTCTTCCTCTCGCATAAAGCTGCACTTGCCTTCAGTAATAGGAAGCTATTTCCACACCTATTGATGTGTCGCTGAGGGAAGGGGGCGGTCTGAAGGGTCTAGCAGGTGAGAGAGTCTTAAGGCAGAGTGGACCCTCCACCACAAGTACATTGGTTCGATCCCATTGTACTGCTTCAATATTTGTTCAACCCCCAACTCATTTAGACGATATGGTATTGCCGATAATCCTGCTATAGTGTCGTGCAGTGTGTCCCTCCAATAGCACTCAAGTCACATTACCACTAACACCTGATTGGCTTAGGACAGTCACGTGACTCGTAGCGATGGTAACCTAATACGAGAGGTTGAATTAACCTATACCGTTGATAGGTTAAGTAATAATCGTAAATAAGAAGCAATAAGATGCTTATCTTAACATACTAAGAAGGTTAGGTGAGGTCGGTGTTTTCTATGAAGCTTTTCAAGGTAAACTGAAATATTCACAATCAATTAGAATGTCACATATGCACTTATTAGATAAGCCAATATTGACTGTACGCAAGTGCGAGAACGGGTTTGGATGGAAGGTTGTGTTGTGGTAGACGGTACGGGTCTAGGGTTGTAAGGCAGTGTTGTGGTAGACGGTACGGGTCTAAGGTTGTAAGACAGTGTTGTGGTAGACGGTACGGGTCTAGGGTTGTAAGACAGTGTTGTGGTAGACGGTACGGGTCTAGGGTTGTAAGGCAGTGTTGTGGTAGACGGTACGGGTCTAAGGTTGTAAGACAGTGTTGTGGTAGACGGTACGGGTCTAGGGTTGTAAGGCAGTGTTGTGGTAGACGGTACGGGTCTAAGGTTGTAAGACAGTGTTGTGGTAGACGGTACGGGTCTAGGGTTGTAAGGCAGTGTTGTGGTAGACGGTACGGGTCTAAGGTTGTAAGGCAGTGTTGTGGTAGACGGTACGGGTCTAGGGTTGTAAGACAGTGTTGTGGTAGACGGTACGGGTCTAGGGTTGTAAGGCAGTGTTGTGGTAGACGGTACGGGTCTAAGGTTGTAAGGCAGTGTTGTGGTAGACGGTACGGGTCTAGGGTTGTAAGACAGTGTTGTGGTAGACGGTACGGGTGTAGCAGGTGTAACTGGGCCTGTACAAGAGACTGTGAACCCTCACCAACAGTTAGGCACGTACACAACACCACCACTGGTGTGATCCCAGCAGGACCACCACTGGTGTGATCCCAGCAGGACCACCACTGGTGTGATCCCAGCAGGACCACCAGTGGTGTGATCCCAGCAGGACCACCAGTGGTGTGATCCCAGCAGGACCACCAGTGGTGTGATCCCAGCAGGACCACCGCCCACTTGTCTTACTCAACACTCCAGGATTACTACACCCGCCGCCACCCAGGGTGCCAGGGAGCTCCTAGAGAGGCGGCGGGGGAGGGAGGGAGGGAGAGAGAGGCACAGGGAGAGAGAGAGACAACAGAACAGTAAGGGAGGGGAAACACAGTAAGGGAGGGAGGTGAGGAAGCTGAGGGGTACGAATGGAGGGAGAGACAGAGGGGAAGAAGGGAGGGTATTATTATGTTTACCTACTAGTATGTGTGAGCACCGAGCTCCAGCTCCCGGTCCTTGTCTCTGAGGTATTAGGACCTCTGAGGTGGTTGAAGTGATGAACACATCACTTACCTCTACCTCTCCCATACTCACTCTACCTCTCCCACACTCATCTCTACCTCTCCCACACTCACCTCTACACTCTCCCACACTCACCTCTACACTCTCCCACACTCACCACTACCTCTCTCACACTCACCTCCCCCCCCCCTCAGTCCTCCTCCCTAACCAATCATTATTTAATTTTACTTATTATCAAATATTATTTGAAATATTTGAAACATGTTGAACAAGATACAGATGAAAAATAATTAATTTACTATTATATTGACGAGTTCTCCAGCAAGATATCAAACCAAAGATTACAAAACATTATTAAAGGTGAACGAATATATGTAATGTTCTGTTCAAACCTAAATTGTTCACTAATAATTAACCATTGTTGAATTGTTATATAAATATACTCATTTGTGAAATGATTTTGTTTGCCCATTTATTTAACCGGATTCTTCCCTATCTTCTCTCCCTCTCTCCTCTCTATCTTCCTCTCTCTCCTCTCCCTCTCTATCTAGCGCCTCGCCCATGGCGTCACACGAGGCAGCCTCCCACAGCACCGTCACCCACAGTAACAGGCTGCCCCTGCTCGTATCCTGTTATAATGACTCTGCACACTACCACACCTGAGCACAGTGCCTCGCTGGTCAGGCACTACACCACCTGCCAGGAAGAGTGCCACACTTATACACTACCTAGAGTAACGCATGAGTATTGTGCCAGGAAGCAGTGAGTAATGGCACTAATGGGGCTCTCTCCCTCCATATACACCACTAATGGGCTCCCATGCTCTCTAAGGCTGCTCGGTTGTAACAGATATACAAGAACCCCCATTAACATGTCCCTTCACCCCATAACCTCAAATGGGCGATGAATCCATTACCAGGTCCATATCTCCTCCATTAATGAGTGATTAACCCCATTAACAGGTCCCCATCATGTAGCCCACTAATGGGTGATGGTCCCCCCATTAACAGGTGCCCCATCACCCCACTAATGGGTTGTCTCCACTAACAGGTGCCCCATTACCCCACTAATGGGTGATGGTCCCCCCATTAACAGGTGCCCCATCACCCCACTAATGGGTTGTCTCCATTAACAGGGAACCTGGTTGTGCTCGTGGTGATGTGGGTTCACCCGCGCATGCGCTCCACAACAAACTTCTTTCTGACCAACCTGGCTATTGCTGACTTCTGCGTCACCGTGTTCTGCGTGTACCAGAACCTCTCCCAGTACCTGGCGCAGACGTGAGTGTTCCTCTCCCAGTACCTGGCGCAGACGTGAGTGTTCTCTCCCAGTACCTGGCGCAGACGTGAGTGTTCCTCTCCCAGTACCTGGCGCAGACGTGAGTGTTCCTCTCCCAGTACCTGGCGCAGACGTGAGTGTTCCTCTCCCAGTACCTGGCGCAGACGTGAGTGTTCCTCTCCCAGTACCTGGCGCAGACGTGAGTGTTCCTCTCCCAGTACCTGGCGCAGACGTGAGTGTTCTCTCCCAGTACCTGGCGCAGACGTGAGTGTTCTCTCCCAGTACCTGGCGCAGACGTGAGTGTTCTCTCCCAGTACCTGGCGCAGACGTGAGTGTTCCTCTCCCAGTACCTGGCGCAGACGTGAGTGTTCTCTCCCAGTACCTGACGCAGACGTGAGTGTTCTCTCCCAGTACCTGGCGCAGACGTGAATGTTCCTCTCCCAGTACCTGAAACACAAGTTCGTGTGAGTGGGTGAGTGGGGGAGTGCGTGAGTGGGTGGGTGGGTGGGTGCGCGTGCGTGCGCGTACGTGTGCACGAAAGGGAGATTTCACAGCAACTCCTTAAAGACCCTTAAACTTCCAAGTGTACGAACCAATCTGGCTTTTAACCGGAAGATAAGAACCCAATTAGCAGAAGGAATATAACATGAAAATTACGAGGAATATTGCGTGTCTCTGTGGCACTCGTCCCATCCCCCCCTGGTGCCAGTCCCCCACGGTAATACCCTCCCCCCGGTGGCACTCTTAGAGTGCCTTGAGTGCACATTCCAAACTCCAGGCTCTCAGTATTCTCATTGAATTTTAATTTGGTTTGGGATTTAATTTAGGTATCCTTTTGTATTTAGAGGCAAATTTAATTTAAATATTTGTTTTGTGATTGTTACTGATTTTTGTGTTACTGTCTGTATGTTTCATTAGTATTGATATCATTAGTGTTTTGATAACACAAAGGGTTGGAAAAGGGGACCCTAGGAGATAAGCACACGCAAATCAAGAGAGTTTAGGTCCTTCCCACTCATGCAGTTTCCATATTCTCTTGTCCTACTTTATTTTGTTTTTATTTTGCGTCATTGAAATCTTTTAAAAGCTACATGTAACAAGTTTGGTGATTACAATGAAAGGTTAAAAGTTGTCAATCTCTTAAGAGGTCTCGAGCTTGCAGGCAGGAACCGAGGAAACAGCAGGTGTTGTATGAACATCAGAGGTCCACGGTTGTTCAACGTCCTACCAGCGAGCATCAGAAATATTACAGGAACAACCGTGGACATCTTCAAGAGGAAACTAGATTGTTTCCTTCAAGGAGTGCCGGACCAACCGGGCTGTGGTGGGTATGTGGGCCTGCGGGCCGCTCCAAGCAACAGCCTGGTGGACCAAACTCTCACAAGTCAAGTCTGGCCTCGGGCCGGGCTTGGGGAGTAGAAAAACTCCCAGAACCCCATCAACCAGGTATCAACCAGGTTACTATCTGGATCGCCACACTCAGGTGCTGACATAGGCAGCTCTTGGGTCTCTGGTTGTGTCAATGAACCTAGAACCATGAGGAAGATCATGGCACCTCTGCGTCAGGGACCAGGTACCTCAGATGTCATGGGCACAAATGTGTACTGGTATTCCAGGGGCTTGTACTCTTTTTAGTTTACTTCTCCCACATGCTTGGTCAACACTGAGGGATGTACAAGTGTCAGCCAGGATGAATGCTCACGAGTAGTCCCACACCAGCTGTCTACCGCTCTTCCAGGGGTTATTTTTATAACTGCACAAAGGACTGTCAGGGTTTTAGGCCAGAAAAAAAACGAAGCTCTCTCTCTGCTGGACACTAAGCCGAAGCAAGGCTCCTCTTAATGATGTCATTAACTTCACCAAGTCTTACAAGCCAATCCTTGGAACGTCCACAGTGCAAAGCATGCAAACCAAATTGGTTAGCTTCTACCGTGTTACAAACACATTAGTACTCGGTGTGAATTGGGGCACCAAGGCAGAAGGCCATTGCAACACGGAAGGTCTCTGGAGCTAGATGTGTGCTTGTTGCAGACATAGGTACTGCTAAACCAAGTCCCCTCCATGTTAGGAGCAGTCATAGCTGTAAGGAGAGCTGCCTCGTGTTGTGACGTAGTAATGTGGAACATGGCCTCATATGTCTTCTCTACCACTGCGCCTTCCCAGCTGGATTGTGTATTTATTCTTGGGTCTGCTTTGGCTCCTGATAGCCAAAGCTATCATTTACTATAGATATATATGTAAGAGACAAGGCCAAGCAGATAGAGAGGGCGATACAGACAGGCACGGAGCAGCCATCGACGACTTGAGCACGTGAATCATAATAAATAAAATGCTGCAACGCTTTCAATTTTGCTTATTGCAAATTTTCTTGGTAATTTGTGTGTTAAGAGTTGAGCGAGGCAGTTACTGCTTCCTCGCCCCCCTCACCCCCACACTCCCCTCACCCTAGACCACCCCCCCTCATCCCGACCCCTCTCACCCCTCTCCCATGAAGAGGACTCTGGCCATTAGCTGCAGGCTCTCTGGATACTCACACCGGCAACACTTTCCAATTCTCTTTATCTCTGTTTTAAAATGCACAGCTAATGTCCAATAGGGATAGCACTGCAGTTCATATATGACTACTGCAACCTATGAGCTGCCATTCTACATCAGCTCATTCTTGTCCCACCCTCAAAATATTTAATGTTTTTAAATACACCTTAATGTTAAGTTAGAGTCAGGTTAGGTATAGGTGAAGTTGAAGACAACTGTGTATCAGTCTTCACATACTTGACTGTAGATCTTGTTGTGAGAGAAAGGTTCAAGACTCTCGACTAGTATTGTACCCCATGGCTGCTGAGCAGGTCTGTGGCTGCTGAGCACTAAGAACTGGTAATCGCCCATATCCAGTTCAGAATGTATATCTGTGGCGACATAGGATGTATGGTTATACTAGCCGATGACAGTTTATACAACATGACTATATAATCATGGGGTGTCCAACCCCCCACAAGTTAGCTGTAAATGTGGCAGGCAGAAGTGAGGGTCTCGGCTGACCTGATCTCCGCCAACGGACTTAATAAACCCTTTCCTCCCTCTCCCTGCCACATCAGGTAAGCCTGGAGTTCACCCAAATACGTCTGTATGGTTGAAACTGCATTCTGATAGTGCTCTTATGGGCAGGTTTGAACGTGAGTGAAGTGAGGTGTGAGTTCGGCTGGTTTGCCCTTAGCTTTCCTCTGGTCATTCTTGTGGAAGCTGCCAGCAGGACAGGACGTACGGTCCCACGAGTCCTGTATTAGCACAGTTACCCCTCTACAACTTCAATAGCTCATCCCAGAGGCAACTGCCCGTTCATCGACTGCATCACATGAATGAATGCCGTGCGACTCTTTGAGTAAATAAATTGCATTTATTTTGCTAACGCTACTGACTCACAGTTGTGTGGTGATAAGTGCAACCCAGTGAGTCTGATCAATGTTTTGGCTGCTTGATGATGCAGCCATTCTGAGTGAACCATCCCACGGAGTGTCCGTTGATCACCGGGCACCTGTTTGTCAATATATGTCCAACACATGTCAGTAGTGTCTGACCACCACTGACACTGGCACAGTTGACTAAGGCGCGTCTGGAAATACTCAGAGGCTAGGTTCGAACCCTCATTAAGGCTCCTGTGGAGTTGTTCATTTCATATATATCACGTTATCGTGACTTGTGTGTGTAAATGTCACTAGTTTTGTGCATACAAATAACATCCCGAGCATTACTTTGAACTCTAAATTATCCCTTTACTTACGGCAGTGGTGTTAGGGATCTGTTATTGCTGGAGGTAATCATTATTGCCAGTGATAAGCTTGCCTTACATCACCTGGGAATCATCAAGAGACTGTACTTCGCGTAGAGTTGCCTATGGCACCTCTTAAAAGTAAGAGACATACACCACATTTCCATGTGAATATACATTTTCGTTTTGTTCAGATTTAGTAAATAAATTCGTATGTCAAGCACACTGTTTCAAGAACTACTTTCTCCCTCATATTGCAAACTTTTGCCGAATCATCCCACGTACACATCTTCCGCATTATAACTAGAATCATTAAGTAAATGTATATATGCTGGTTAGCTTTGTAAATATGTGACCACGTCTGTGGTAGGAAACACAACTAACATCAGGTAAATGTGATGTTAGCGATGTGTGATCTCCCAGCTCCGCCCCTCACAGCTCACACACAAGCTGACAGTAGGCGTTGATCACATGCTTCCCTCCACACAGACGGAACCTCTAATCTTTGATACAGAGTTGTTGATGTAACTTAATGTGCTACACACCGCTCGCTCTCTCTTTCCCCTCCTATCCCTTCCTCTCTCCCTTCCTCCTGGTGGCCACACACGCATCTGGTTCACTAATGGAGATACCTACTAATAGTCAAGGGAGGGAACGCTTCGAGAGGAGTCAGGTAGAAAATATGTTTTCATAAAAAAGGTAAAAAAAGTCTTCATTTTGCTTTTTCATTCACTTCACCCAGGGAACCTTTGCTGCAGGAAGGCCAAACTCGTCAGTTTCTTTTATATATTTTTAGATTGAGAGAGAGAGAGAGAGAGAGTGAGAGAGGTGATAGAGGTGAGTGTGTCAGAGTGTGAAGGACAAAATCAGCGGTGATACAGGCCTCCTGGGAGCATTACCCAGCACTCCACACACCCCATCACCCACCGGTACACACACACACACACACACACACACACACACCCTATGATGGGCCCCCGCGGTGAGGCGTGGCAGGGGGGCCCTCCGTCACCCCCTCTCTCTCTCCTCCCACACGGGCGGCTTAACACACACACCCAACATGTACCACTGGACAATAATCACCCGGGACCACCGCAGATGTACCGGGGCATTACACGTGTTCAGTGTGAGTGTTGGTCGTGGAGGTGAACTACGCTCCTCCAGGCACACTTCCCTTCTTTATTTTATCAATGATTTTCAAACTTGCACCATTTTTATCCTTGAGTTGATTTAAGATGTCTACCGTTATATTTGTAATAATGTACTATTCTTAATGCCAGTTTTCATTGTTGTTTACCTCTCTAAGACCTCCCACGAGACACGCGTCTCCAGTGAGACACACGTCTCCAGTGAGACACGCGTCTCCAGTGAGACACGCGTCTCCAGTGAGACACGCGTCTCCAGTGAGACACGCGTCTCCAGTGAGACACGCGTCTCCAGTGAGACACGCGTCTCCAGTGAGACACGCGTCTCCAGTGAGACACGCGTCTCCAGTGAGACACGCGTCTCCAGTGAGACACGCGTCTCCAGTGAGACACGCGTCTCCAGTGAGACACGCGTCTCCAGTGAGACACGCGTCTCCAGTGAGACACGCGTCTCCAGTGAGACACGCGTCTCCAGTGAGACACGCGTCTCCAGTGAGACACACGTCTCCAGTGAGACACGCGTCTCCAGTGAGACACGCGTCTCCAGTGAGACACACGTCTCCAGTGAGACACGCGTCTCCAGTGAGACACACGTCTCCAGTGAGACACGCGTCTCCAGTGAGACACGCGTCTCCAGTGAGCCCTCAGAGATACACCCCCTCCCCCTGAACTCTCGGATATATCAGCTCAAAGTGGTGCTCCTAAGGCGGTGAGGACGGGACCTTACGAGCTCCTGGAAATGTTAACTTCTCCACACAGGTAATGAGCCCATACCTGGCGTCCTCATAACTCCCTCGATCAACAGGTGTTCATATATCAAGCAGGTGGTGCACCCTACCTGGTGTTTACCGCGTGTTGGTTCTAGGGATTACCGTCCCCGCAACCCCGTCTTCCTAGTAGACTTCCTTCCAACCAGGCTTCCTAGTAGGTGTGCTCTATTCAATCAGGCTGTTAGACGTAGCTGCTCGCTGCATGAGAGGAATCACAGTTCGGTCGATCAGGTATCCTTTTGGAGGTGATTATCATGTTCTCTTTTGAACGAGGAGATGCCCGCCAATTAATTATTCTCCTTATGTGTAGAGGGAGAGTTGAACAGTCTCGGGCCGTTGATGTAGAGAGTTCTCTCTCAGCGTACCTACTGCACCTTTGCTTTGCAACGTGGATTATTGAACGGTAGGACAATTGGGTTCGTTCTCGACTCACAATCGGAAATACCGCGTTCGGATCTCTGTGTGACAGAAATGGTTGGGCGCGTTCACCGAACAGTAAATAGGTACACGGGAGTTGCTCAATTGTTGTAGAGTTGCATCCAGGAGAAGGTGTGTAGTTGGACCGTGGGTTGACCTGGGTACGAGCCTAACATATTCATACACAGGCGGCCTCTTCCTCGACAAAGCGAACGAATTCATTTTGCACTTCCTGCCATGCCTGCTGGTCTTATGTGGTGTTATTTTCATGAACAAATTGGGAACTAGTCCCTTTAATATTTTCCAAGTGTAAATTATTAGGTATCTCTCTCGCCTGCGCTCTAGAGAATAGGGATTTACAAATTTCAAGCGGGTCCAAAAATTTTGATGTTTTACCGAGAGGATTTGCCCACATTAAAGGATTTCTGCACGTTTTCCAGGGTCAGAAATTTCACCAACTTCGAATGGGGCTTTTATTATGCCCCAAAGTTGGTGAAATTTGCAACAATTGTATTGCAACAACATATTGTTATGCAACAATATTCCACTCTAGAGAGCACTAGTGTCTATAAAAGTATGACTGAAATGATATCTCTTGTTTGAAAGGTTCTTGCTATCCGACCTGTGACTTTTCTTGCAGCTGCGACAGCTACTTAAGTGTATTCTTTAAACATAAAGTCTTCCGACGTGATTATTCCCTGATCTTTTGTATTACTTTTTCGTTCTATAGTGTGATTTACCTGCGGTTTACATGTGACTTCCGTTTTGGTATTTTCGTTTTTTTCCGTAGCGCAGGAGCTGGAACTTGTGTTCATTAAACATATTACTCTCTGTGGCCCATTGAAAGACCTGATTTACATCAGTTTGTAGACGACACTAACACAGCAAACCTCCAAAGAATAATAAAGTTTGTGTCCTTGTCTATGTCTGATATTAATAAAAAAAAAAGTACCTGAGAGTAAGCACAGTACCCCGAAGGATGGAGCTCTTTCAACTGTGACGAAAGACGAGCCACGATTGGCCCTCCAATCCTGACCCTTGCACCCTATACCCCCCCAATCAGGCTCGTCAACACACCAACTAACACGTGCCCCTTTTCTTCCCCTTGTGTGTCCGCACGCCGCAGGTGGGTGTTCGGGGACTTCCTGTGCAAGATGTACAACTTCGTCAACTACCTGAGCTACACGGCCTCCGTCATGATCCTGGTGGTGAACTGTGTCGAGCGTTACGTCGCCATCATGTGCCCCTTCAGAGCCAAGACTCTACTCAGTCACCGCAACCTGGTGGTAGGTCCTTGTTAGGTGCGTCTGGAGGGACGGAGGGAGGCAGGTCATGCCTGCAGGGAAGACACTATATAATCCACATGGAATAAGTTAGACGGTACAACATTTTGAATGTAAACATAGCAAGAAAAACTATAAAATGATCGAAAGGTGGAGTTATTAGTACACACACACACACAGTTGAAAGGCGGGACAAAAGAGCCAGAGCTCAACCCCCGCAAGCACAACCAGGTGAGCACACACACTACACCAGACAAAAAAGAGTCGAGTTAATTTGTGACGAGAAAGAGTGCTTTTGATGAACATATTTACTGATTACAATTTTCTTCACTCATTACTCGTGTCCGCTGAATTATGTACTTTATTTTCTTTGTGAATTTTCATCTCGTTTGGTTACTTTAATTAAACGGATATATGTGTGTGTGTGTGTGTGTGTGTGTGTGTGTGTGTGTGTGTGTGTGGGGGGGGGGGGGGTGTACTTACCTAGTTGTACTTGCGGGGGTTGAGCTCTGGCTCTTTGGTCCCGCCTCTCAACGGTCAATCAACTGAGATACAAGTGCCTGAGTCTACTGGGCTCTATCATATCTACACTTAAAGCTGTGTATGTGTGTGCGTGTGCGTGTGTGTGTGTGTGTGTGTGTAACACCCATCAGTGCTGCCCCACTACACTGCTCCAGTCATCCTGACTCCATGCCTCCCCTGCTAGCTCAGGCAGCGTAACACAACTCTCTTTTCCTGCACACTATATTCTTTATCCGCTGTGTGTGTGTGTCTTGTCTGACGCTTGACGTGTTGGTGACGAGCTCGTCGCGTTCACGGTCTCTCGCACGTCATGGTTGACGTCCTTGTTGGTTGGTCATCTGGTGCTGCCACACCTGCAGCTGCTACAACTGGTGCTTTCCTACCCTACACCACCTACAATCGACTTGAGAATGGTCCAGGACGGACCGAAACGTCGTCGTCCCTTCACCTTCTAGTGTGTGGTCTGGTCTACTTACTTTAGCCACGTTATTGTGACTTATCGCCTGCCTACACTACCTTCCCTACCCTATGCCACCTTCCCTACCCTACACCACGTTTCCTCCCTTATGCCACCTCCCCTTCCCTACGCGTTGCGTTGGGAAGGGGAGGGAAGGGGGGGGGTGCAGGCACGGTTGGGTTTGTCCTAGACTCGCGAAGGAATCTGGAATTCCAGTTCGAATCCCGGGCGGGACACAAATGGCCGTACGCGTTTCCTATCACTTAATACATCTGTTTACCTAACAGTAAATAGGTACCCAGGAGTTAGTCGGCTTGTTGTGGGGTTGCATCCTGGGGAGGGTCAAGTTCCACCCTGGGGGGGAGGGGGGGCTCGATATAAGCCTAACATTTATATATGTATATACACTGGCTGCCAGTCCCCGACACAACTGTTATTAGATGTAAGCGTTAAGTGTTGTGATGTGTTACAGGTGTCGCTGGTGGTGGTGTGGGCTGGCAGCGGCGTCTACTGCTGCCCGCGACTCCTCTACTTCCGCGCCGCGACACACGAGCTGCCTGGCGCACGATACACCGAGGTCATCTGCCTGGCGGACCGCGAGCTGTACGACTCCCGCACCTTCGACACCATCAACTTCGTGCTGCTGTACGTCATGCCGCTCTCCGTCATGTCGCTCCTCTACTGGCGCATCGGCCGCTACCTCTGGATTAACGGCAGACAGGTCGAGGAGGCTCGCGGCAGGAACTCCCCCCATGACGCCCCCTGCAGGAGCACCCCCCATGATGCTGCCCCCTGCAGCATGCCCCCGCACGACCCCCCCTGCTGCATCTCCGCCCTCAAGGACGACATGGTTAAGGCGCAGCAGCAAAGCGGTGGCGGCGGCTCCAGCAGCTCCCACGGCTGCTACTCCGCCATGGGGCGCAGACGGTGGCGCCACACCCCCGACATGCCCATCGGCCCCTACCACACGGAGCGCCTCTTGCGCACCTGGAGGAAGGTGGTGAAGCTCCTGGTAGCGGTAGTGCTGTGCTTCGCGCTGTGTAACCTGCCGTTCCACCTGCGGAAGATGCTCACCTACTACCACCCGGGCTACGACGCCACCACCGACGCCGCGCTGCTCTTCACGCCGCTCTCAAACCTCCTCATGTACCTCAACTCCGCCCTCAACCCCATCGTCTACTCCTTCATGTCGCACAACTTCCGCGCGTGCGTGAGGGACGTGCTCACCCGCTACACCCGCAGGGGCCGCCGGCGACACCCGTCTGGGCCGCTCTTTGCCCCGCCCCACGCCCACACGCCCGTCTCACGCCACGCCCACGTCATCCCGCCACAACCCAACACGCCCATAAACCCACAACACCACACCACCCACACACCCCCACACTCGGCTCACAATACACCTCGGGCACCCCACAACCCACACCACACGCCCCCATAGTCACTCCTACCGGGTCCTCCACACACTGCTGCACCATAGAGGACCTGAATTTACCTGAGAGCCACTAATTCTAGTGGCCTCCACGACGACAGGAAGCCGGCGACTTGTCGAAGGTCCCCGGCCCCCCTCCTGTTTATATTTAGTGTACAACTGCGCAGGTGTTGTTTACAAGACCTTGCTAAAGCTTCTCTCTCCCTCAATAACAGTCTATGTTTATATAAGGCGGACCACTGAACACAAGGGTCACTCTTCCTTACCGTGTGCTGGCTCCGAGGATCATGTTCCCGCGGCCCGGTCTCTGACCACGCCTCCTCAAGGAAGACGAGGATGGAAGAACAAGGGAAAAGTAGAAGTGAGAACGGGTCATAGCGAGTGAAAGGCAGAGATGGAAGGAGGAAAGATAGTATGATTATTCCAACATTGATTTACACAGAATTAATAACAATAATATCACAATTACCTTTACAAACTATTATATATATATATATATATATATATATATATATATATATATATATATATATATATATATATATATAGATCACACAAAATAAATAACGCATCAATTAAGTTTGATTCCAAATGAGCTTTATGACTGCGTGACACACAGCCAGCCTCAACAGGCAGGACTATCAATGGTTACTACATCTCGTACGGTTGTACTGATACTCCATATTGCTCAAAACACTTAACCAATCCATACAAACATTGTCCTGGTAATACATATTATGGAACACGGAAAAAGGCTCCTGAGGGATACAGCGTACATAGTCTTATGTTTACTACAGAATCTCACAAGACAGTTCTGACCACTTCATCAGCTGGGTCTGTTTGTTTACCCCCATCAGCTGGGTGTGTTTGTTTACCCCAATCAGCTGGGTGTGTTTACCCCCATCAGCTGGGTGGGTTTGTTTACCCCCATCAGCTGGGTGGGTTTGTTTACCCCCATCAGCTGGGTGTGTTTGTTTACCCCAATCAGCTGGGTGTGTTTACCCCCATCAGCTGGGTGGGTTTGTTTACCCCCATCAGCTGGGTGGGTTTGTTTACCCCCATCAGCTGGGTGTGTTTGTTTACCCCAATCAGCTGGGTGTGTTTACCCCCATCAGCTGGGTGGGTTTGTTTACCACCATCAGCTGGGTGTGTTTGTTTACCCCAATCAGCTGGGTGTGCTTACCCCCATCAGCTGGGTGGGTTTGTTTACCTCCATCAGCTGGGTGGGTTTGTTTACTCCCCCCCCCCCCATCAACTAGGTGGGCTCGTTGACCCCAACAGCTGGGCGGGATTGATAGATCTACAAGCTGGTAATGTGTGTTTACCTTATCAGCTGATCGTGTATCTCAGCTGATGGCATTTGTTTATCCCATCAGCTGACGTGTACCATCTTGGTGAACAACACACAACGTCACCTGCCTCGGTCTTGTGTTTGGTGAAGATAATAAAGGTGTCCTTGTTACTCCTCAACTTCCTGACCTGTTGACCACTCTAGACGATTTAGAAGATACGAAAAAAAGTAAATGTTTTCAAGTGTTCTTTAACGTATACAACATGAACTTTTAATACATTCAAATGTTTTCAATGATTGTAATTAATACCAAGTGATCTGTAATGTATTATTGTGACCACGGGGATTTGCATATCACTGCGTCGATTTGTAGTTCTCTATAACATGATCAAATTACAAATATCAAAAGGAACAAGTCGCTCAAATGTTGTATCAATAAAGATATATTTATAAAGTTAGTATTATATTATTCCTTTATTTCATACTAGGTGAGGTACCTGGCTTTGTCTAGGTGTCTCCCCCCTCTCCCTTCCTCTCCGCCATGCCCCCCCTCTCCCTTCCTCTCCACCATGCCCCCCTCTCCCTTCCTCTCCACCATGCCCCCCCCCTCTCCCTTCCTCTCCACCATGCCCCCCTCTCCCTTCCTCTCCACCATGCCCCCCCCCCTCTCCCTTCCTCTCCGCCATGCCCCCCTCCCTCTCTCTCATTCCCTCAGATATCCTAATATTACAGACAGCTGAAAAGCTGCTATAACTGGGGAGAAAATTGTAGCATATTTGCGTGTCAAATTGAGCCTGGTGCTCTCTGACACTAAGTGACCATCGTGGTACACACGGTGATGTGCATCGCTCCACGTCCTCTCTAATCCTCAAAGGGCCTCGGTATATCAACATTGCCTTGCCATCTATCGTCCGACGATACCTTGCAACTGGTCGTACGACTGGCAGTACAGTGCGACTACGGCTCGTTGCCAGTGAAAACTTGTCGTACAGTAGAGGTGAGCTAAGGAGAGAGAAGTGATCGCTTGATGCACGTTGGTCTCTCTCTCTCTCTCTCTCTCTCTTGTCTATATGTTCCTTACTGGCAGCTTTATGTTCATTGTTGTGTGTGTGCTCTCACTCTAGCCTCTCTCACGCTCACTCTCTAGCATCTCACTCTCTAGCCTCTCACTCGCTCACTCTCTCTAGCCTCTCACTCGCTCACTCTCTCTAGCCTCTCACTCGCTCACTCTCTTTAGCCTCTCACTCGCTCACTCTCTCTAGCCTCTCACTCGCTCACTCTCTCTAGCCTCTCACTCGCTCACTCTCTTTAGCCTCTCGCTCACTCTCTCTAGCCTCTTACTCTAACCTCTCACTCTCACTCCACTAGCTCAAAACGAAATTCATTTTCACGTTTGACCAGCTTTGATGTCTTTACAGGGTCTCTGGAGGCCATTGGGTTCCCACTCTCCCCTACGTCCTTTCCTGCTCCCTCTCCCTCCCTCCTTTACTCTCTCTCACCTCAGTCTGTCTCTTTCATCTTTCACACGACGTTTACATGTGATGGGAGAGAGATGGGCAGGTGACGGGAAAGACGAAAGGAACTATCAAGAGAAAGCGCCAAGCCAGAACGACTATGTAGCACTGGGAAGGAATCAGGATAAGGATTTAGGATGGGACGGTGGAGGGGGGAGGGGGGGAATGGTGGCCAAGTGGCCACTTGGACGGTCGGGGGATTGAACGCCGACCTGCATGATTAATAATTCCTTCGTCGTTGTCAAACCGAGCGATCGATCTCCAGCCCTAACTTGGGCCACTTCTCAAGACTCTACACCATTATGGCATCAGCTTACTATGGACATTCCTTATTGGGCCTCCCGAGCCCTACACCCTGACCCTACATCTTGCACCACACCCTGGCCCACATGCGCCCAAACACGGCCCCACACCCTGGCCCATGCCCTGACCGCCCTGGCCCCAAACACGGCCCCACACCCTGGCCCATGCCCTGACCGCCCTGGCCCCAAACACGGCCCCACACCCTGGCTCACGCCTACGGCAACTTCCGACATGTAAAGTTACGGGTGAAGTAAAGCAAGTTAAGGTGGGTTAATGAACTACTTCTCAGTATTCTCAAACAATGAAATTTTCACCCAACGTCTCAGCGTGCGCACTTACGCTTACTCGTACACGTACTCACCCAGATGTACATCTGGGTGAGTACATCTTTGTGTGTACATTTGGGTGAGTACATCTGGGTGAGTACTCACTACATGTTTTATCAACTACTAGTCACACAATGTTCCTTGTCCATTCCTGACGCCCTGTTCTTCCCCGATTCTACACGTATGACTCCCTTAGACAATCAGAATACACAAACAGGCAATGTTCAAAATGTGAGACGGTAGGACCAGTGGACACAGGTGGAAGCTGGAGACACACACACACTCTAGGGGAAAGGTTCTTCATTTCAAAGTTTTAAGTATCAATAGAACGGGAGACAAAAGTAGATCGTTGAGGTAAATTCAATAAGCAGCTTCAAAAGGAAATATGACGAGAATCATGAGAAATGAAGATCAGTGTCCTGACCAGGTTGGGGCTAGGGAGCTATTGCCCGACTAAGCACAATTAGGTAAGCTTACCCCACACCCTTAAGGACTAAGTGGTTGTTAAAGTACGGATGAGCTGGCTCCGGTTCAGACGAGCGTCCATTAACGTCGCAATACTCCTCGATAACAAGCCAGTAAGGGAGGGACTGAGGCAACAGGCTTAATACTGCCATGCTTCGCCACCACTAGTGAGCAATTATCCACCCTCTGGCTCACCTATTTTTGCACGCCACCCCTTCTCTCCTCCCTCCCTCCCCCCCTTCACACAACCACAACCACCACCGGTGCACCTACAACACCCGCGCACCGCCCCCACTTCTCACCCACCCCCACCACCCACCACCACCTGTGCACCATCACCGCTGCTCCATCTTCCACCTCAAGAGCTGAAGTGAGGTTGAGCGGAAGAGACGAGGGGAGACCATTCCAGTGGACGACCTCTCGAACGACCCTCTTCCCCTGGAGTGTGGAGAAGCAAGCGAGGGTTGTATGGGTTGAGGGTTGGAACACACACCTCAGGTCTTGGTCCTCGAGGGCAGGCCAGCTCACCCTCTGTTGTGTATGGCCCTCTGTGTATCTCATTCACCACATATCTATCTGTGTCTGTCTCCAATCCATCTCGGTAATGGGTTCTTACTCCCACTCTCATACAAACAGCAAGAGTTTTCACACACTGTGTCACTTGAGCCTTAGATATTTACATGTTTATTTATGTGCTCATTTAAATGTTCTTGCATAGTTGGGCTCCAACTCCTGAGTCCCGCCTTACCAGCTGTTAGCCATCTAATGCAGCAACTTCTGCTTCACCTGATTCTCGTTATATTTTGTTGATACACTGCTAATCCCTATATATGGTCTTACACCTGAAGTTACCATCCTTGTTATCTTGTTCTGCCCTGCCTGAACATGTTCCCTTTTGAACAATATCCCTGCATTCTTTTACAATCATTGTGTGTTATGACTTCATTATTTTTGCATCTTTTGCAAACTTTAACATTAATTACTACAGGAATACTACAGTCCTAGTAATTGTTTTACCCCTGTGACTTTCATCAACTCTCAGGTCCCGTATACCAACACTGAGGCCTGGACCCCAGTGACCCCAACTAGACCTCAGTGTTACCCCAACCAATAGAACCTGACGTCACAGCAGAAGAAACTTCGCCCATTCGGCAACGCCTGAGGCTCATGGCTTGATTTATCTACCCTCTACCTCACTTCTACCCCCATGTGTGCGTGTGCGGCCCCCTTACCATTGATTGACGGTTGAGAGGCGGGACCAAAGAGCCAGAGCTCAACCCCCGCAAACACAACTAGGTGAGTACATGCTAAGCCCCATATCTCACCTCAAGATGTTCCAGGGAGAAACGACACATTGTGCCCGTATTACATCAGTTATTCTTGGGTTTTATTCTCCTAAAACCCAGATTGACTATGAATTTGGGTAACTTGGTCACCCAACTCAGATTTAGTATTTTAATCCTAATTTTCCCTGGAATATTGTTACGGTGCCCTCTCCTATTTCTTTCGTTTGCCGGCTTAAAGAGTCATATCAGCTCTCCCTACTGATTCTCTGAGGTTCAGGGAGTCTATTGACATAT